GTTCCGAAGGTGTTCAGTAGCACGGGGACATAGCTAAAGTCGACGGTACAAGTGTGTATACTCGGGATTGAGGCAAGGACGGATACGAGTTCCGCGAGCCCGGAAGTTTGATAGTCGGAGTCAGCCAACTCGAGTGTTAAGGATGCAATGTTCGAGCTTGCAAACATGGCTTGCAGAATAGATATCGTCTCAAAGGTGATAAATAGCAGACACGCTTGCTTGAGATAGCGCATTGCACCAATGATTCGGCTGAGAACTTCTTCATCTTCTCCGATGAAGTATTCGAAGTTCCAGAGCTCGATGGTGCGGAGGTTGGAGGCGTGGCTGAGAAGTTCGTGCAGAATCGGTACGTCGGGTCGTTCAAAGAACGACGTGGTGAAGTGGTGGAGATAGTGGACGCGCGGGACCTGAGAAAGCGGCTCTGGTGCGCGCATGTAGTCCGACAGGGCGCGAGCCTCAGAGGAATCGCCTAGATCGGGCACCGATCCGTACGTGTCTCTGCTCCAACGCAGACTGGCGAAGGCGTGGGAGATAGCGAGTCGATACGCGCGTTTGGATGTGTACGCCATCGCGAGTGCCTCCGTGCGGTCCAGGAGGGAGAAGATTTCGAAGAGAACATCGTCGTTCAGCGAGAGGAGGGGGGTGGAAACCACATGCATGTTCCAGGTTTGACGACGTGCCCGGGGTAGATCTTCAGGATGGATACTGGCGCGCGGTGTCGCTGAGCAGCCGGGGAGGGAGGGAGAGGAGAAAGAGTACCAGGCCATCACACGCAAATCACGCGTCTGTGACTCGCGAGTGGCGGGACTTGGGGACGGCGTCTACGTATCTTCTCCTCAACCTCGTCGGCTTCCTTTCCCCTCTCATCCGCACTGTACATTCTGTCTTCCACCCTGTAAACTCGGCGTCTTCAAAATTCCCAATTCGCTCAGCGACCGACGGTCCAACTCTCGCCTTTCAATGGCCCCCATAGGCCTCAGGATCAGGTTATCGCTGTCGCTGGATACGGGGGATCGTAAGCACTCATTTCTACGACCTCCCAGGCGATGAACATGTGTGTTGGAAGCCTCCTTCCCCTGGTGCGTTCCCTTGCCCTCGTTCATCGCGCCGACTACGCACGTTTTCATCAGCGTCCCTGCGCGCCGTCAAGCCCTCTTTCTTTGCTGCACCTCCAGCTCGACTTCCGGACCTTACGTGGCACCTGTCACGCCTTCTGCAAGGTCGGCGACGACGACAAGTGTCCCGTCGCTTCGCTACAGCTCCGCTCCGTGGCCTCGCCCGGACGATCTCCACGTTCGGCCCTCTCTCAATCGCCGCGCTCTCGTCGTGCGCGCCCGCGCCTATACATACCGACAAGGTGTCCATTTAGGTCGGAGGGTGCGTCATGTGGCTGAACCAACGGCGGGTCGAGGAATGGGCGCAGGCACGAGGTCCGCGAGAGCGGGCTCATCGAGAGCAAGTGCGGTCGTCGATCCGGGAATGACGCTGGATGGTGAGTGCTCCCGCGTTGGTTCTTGCACGGTTCCGCGGTACCGACCCTGGTGCTTCCCCGACAAGAGTCGCTACGCTCTGTACTAGTAGACTACAAAGTCAATGCGATGATTCCCTTCTCCGATACGCTCCGCAGAGGTTACCCCATCGGTCCTCCTCCGGCCAAGTTCAAACGGTCTTCGAACTGCTACCCCTTCCTGAGTCGGGGCTAGGAGAGCATCATCGGAGTACCCATGGGGGTTTCGATCCGGCGGGTGAGAGATGGACATGCCATTTGGTTGGATCGATCAATAGGAAAGAGGGTAAAAGCATTTTAGATGAGGGCGTAAGTATGAGCTCCGATCGTTGAGGATCTACACTTGGACGTTGGCGCAAGTAAGCAGTCAACAATGGGAACACCAGTATTACTGTAGCGAATACAAACTGCGTTCTTGCCTTACGACATCCTGGCCGTCGCTCGCTCCTCTCCCGCTGCAGCGCCGCCAGCCGCTCCTCCAGCCTTTCGAGTCGCGCGCCCATCACCGCGAGCCCGTCCTCGAGCGCGGCGAGCCGCCGGGCCTGCGTTGTACCGGCGTCCTCATCCCCACCGTCGTCCGGCTCGCTGGGGTCTGCCGGGCGTGAATTTGCTCGCTAACTGGATGTTCGGCGGCCACTTGGGCACGTACATCACGCATAGGGAACCATCTGGGAGGGGTTCAGCGCAGTATTGCCTACGAACGACCGCATGAGCGTCATCTCCTCGCACGCGTCGCAGACGATAACTAGAGTCAAAAGGCGCGTCAGGATGGGGCCTATGGGGTCGGGGCCGGAGGGGGATTCGTCGGACGAACCGTAACAGGTGATGCAGAGCCAGCACTCGTCCATGCACGTGTACTTGCGTCCTGCAAACCACACACAACCATCCCGTGTGTAGGGGTGCGGGAACAGACCCGGGTGGCGGGGGAGTGGAAAGGTTCTCGGGGACGTTGAGTCCCGCGCTCCGTCTCGCTGCGAACACTGAACGCTGAGGTGCGGGCTCACAAGAACAGAATGAATACCTTGGCGTGAAAGATCAAAACATCAACAGCTACGCCTCCTGTGGCGTCATGTCTCCGCCAATCTCCACACTCACTCTCCCGTGCACCACCTACGCCTGTCTGGGGTGGCGACGCACATGCCCCACGAAATCCGAGGATACGGATGCTCCGGAAACATTCAAGAAAAGAATGGCGCAGATGTTCCCGGGTATCTTTCAGGCTGAGGGCACGAAAAGGGGCGGATGAGGAGACGATGCAATGGACCATGTCAAGCAGACGCACCGAAGTGATCAGGAATCTTCGCCTCCGCATCGCCGGTAAGGTGTGCGAGCAATGGTTTCCCTCTCCGACGACAAGTTAGATCCACCTAAGATGGCACGCTGCGGTGTATTGCGTCGGTGCTTGAGACTACTTTGAGCCAGCCGGAAAGCAAGTCCGCGCGAGACTGGTTCGCGCCGAGCGATGTTCCCGTGTGCAGGAAGCGGGGACCTTCAGAGAGCAGTCCTACGTCGCCCAGAGAGTGGAGAGAAGGGGACAATGGGAGAAAAGGAGAAGGAGAGAAGAGATAGAGGCTGATTCAGACATTGACGCCCTTGTGCACGTGTTCCCCCCCGCCACCACCCCGGTGGCCCCTGGGCCCTGGATGAACCCGGCCCCTAAGCATCTGGCCGAGATGGGGCTCTTTGCCTCTCTCCTTCCTCCTCGTCCTTTGCGCTACCGCACCCGACCGCCAGGCAGCTCAAACCTCCGCCCTTAGGTCGCCAGCAAAGTCTCCAGAATATCTGCTCGACGGCCGACCTCGGGCTCCGACTCATCCGATCATCATACACTGAACGGTAGTGACTATTCTCTTCTTCGCCCTCGTAGTTTTGGAAGTCCCCGAATATGAACCACCATTCGGGCCTCCTCTCTCTCGACGATGACGTCCTCCTCGCGATTTTCTCCTTCCTGGATTCCAAGGCGGCGCTGGCCACAGCTTCCACCTCCAAACGGGCCTATAGTCTCGCCATCTCTCGTGTCTTCGCCGACCTATCCTGGAGTACAGTCTGCTTTTCGGAAGACAAGGATGGCTCCAGAGCCCTCGCCTTTTCGCGCTACATGTGCGCACCTGAACTACCCCGCGTCCAACATCTCCGCCATTTCACCCTCGGCAGTGCTATGAAACCGGTCGAACTGCCACCTCTACGCGATATTCTTAGTCAAACCTCCAATCTCCGCATCATCGACCTAGAAAACTTCGAGGACTTCCTCCACCCCGACGGGCACAGAGTCATCCAAACGATCGGCGCGATGCCCCACCTCGAGGAGGCACATCTGCAACGTATCGAACCCAAGGCGGTTTCTGGACTTCCAGTCATGTTATCTAGTCCGAACCTCACCACTTTGACACTGGGCTTTTCCTTCGCCCACTACAGCGGTGGGGAAGACGCGGATTTGCTGGCGCGAGTTCAAGGACAACCTCACCGTGAGTTTACCGACTGCTGCTCGCGTCTACGTCTCTGAACTACCTTAGCGGCTCACAGACACCCCTCTTCGCCGCGCTCCCATCGCTACCGTACACCCACCTCGACTTCCAGATCAGGCACAGCTAATATCGCATCAACGAAACATCCGAGGCCGACACGTCGCGCATCGCCGGAGCGACCCGCGTCGCCTTCCTGAAGCCTCTGCCCGGTGAGCATGCGCGGACGATCCCTACCCTTCGCGTCCTCGCGCTCTCGTCGTGCAAACCCATGCTCACCCGCCACGACACCGATGAGGGCCGCGCTGGGCGCACGGACGCGCAGCTGTTTTCGAACTACTACAACGGTATCTCTGAGAGGCTGCGGTGCGGGAGCACGAAGGTTTGCGGGACAAGCGATGGTGGTAGATCTCGAGGGGCAGGCGCCTGCGTGGGACACGGCAGAGATCTGGAGGGAGGACGGGGAGAGGGCGCGCGCGTTGATCGAGGGGTCGTCGACGACGCTGGATGGTGGGTTCTCTCATTACCGCTTCTGCGAGCCTTGTGTACCAATTCCGCACGTTGCCAGGGTTCTTCAGCGACAAGTGCCGCCGTGTCATATAGTGCACTTCTTCTGTGCACCGTCCGCGATGTCGTTCGGTCAGAATCGCTGGCTCGATTCGCGATCAATGTTGGGCAAACACCGCATGCTCGGATTCGACAGGGATGACCGCTTCACCTTTCTACATCAAAGCACGGGCAGCGGCCCAGGAAAGTCTGGGTAAAGTGTTCCAGAGCGTCATTGCGTGCCGCGCAGGCGACGAAACGACCAATCAACCGGTGACCGCCGATGGCGGATGACGGACTGGGTGTGGAAGGAAGGCGTAGTGTGTCGGGGGATTCCGATGGTGTCATGTGCGAGGGCGGTTTGGCACCTCGGTGATCGCTACTATTCACAGGATATGTTCCGGTAGACGTGGGGTACGTCGAGTTCAAGTACGTCCGTTCCGATTGCAGCCTGTCAATGGTTCACTCGCGACCCGTGGCAGCACCACGCGGTGTCCGCTCTCGGGTACACGAACGAGGGCGTCGCCGCGTACGTCTACCCGAGCGCGAAGTACGGGAGCGTCCCGCTGTTCCGGATGTACTCGACGTCGGCGTCGGACCACTTCTATACGACCGACGTGGACGAGAAGCACAGGGCGGTCGCGTCGTTGGGCTCCTCGGACGAGGGAGTTGTCGGGTACGTGTACCAGGTGAAGGTCGCGAACTGTTAAGCATGTTATGGTGAGTGAGAATGATGCCGACTGTGATCTACGACTACGGATTGCTGACTCATACATAGCAGTACATGATATGCATAAATCCCTGTTAGAGCGCCCCGGGCTTATGCATATTGTGAATTATGCATACGCGAATATATGCATAAACATTAGTGAATGCATACAACTGTAGAGGCGTCAATGTCCGTAAACAAAACAACGCAATGGGGAATCGAACACCCAACCCAACCCAAAAGGGGGAGGTGGGAGGCAATTCTACCACTGCGCCATGAGTCCATTAAAACGGCTCATATGTTTCTTTATATGTACTGTTATATTTCTCAATACGTCGACTTAATGTACTCCCGTCCTCCCCAGCTGACCATCCTCTCTCAACTGTGGGTAATGCAAGATGCCCACTATGATCTCCCGCCCATGTCCAACGGATATCAGCTCACCTGTGCAGCACATAATATATCATTTGCTTCCTGTAGAGGCGTAAGTGACTATGCCGATGACACAAGTAAGTTTATGCATACAGCGTGTTTATGCATACAATTTGTTTATGCATACAACGTGTTCATGCATACGGCCGGTTTATGCATACAGCCGGTTTATGCATACAGCCCGATTATGCATGCAGCGTGATTATGCATACGGCGCATTTATGCATACGCCCCATTTATGCATAAACGGTGCGTATGCATAAACGGTTCATATGGGTAAACACAGCGTATACCAGTGGGGCAAGACGACAGTCATCAACTCCAGGTCCGAGTCCATGGAGGTGAAGGCGAGATAGTGGGCTGGTGTAAGCGTAGAAATGAGGAATCTGGGATGAAGCAAGATTTGCGGGGAAAGCGAACGTGAAGAGAGTTGGATCGCGGGAACGCAAGGTACTTGAGGAGGTCAGAATAGACGAGACCGAGGAGGATGATGAGCGCGAGTGTGAGATCGAGGGCGAAGGGGAACGTGCGGTGCGTCTAGATCGATGTGTCGCATAGGGCTGCCGTATTGATCCTAGGTGAACACGGGCGGATCGTGATGGGCGTGTGCGAGGTGGGACGGACAATGTGCGTGGAAAACGTGCGTGAGGACGACATGGATGGGAGCCAGGCGGAGGCGCGTAGCCACTAGCGTGGTCAGGTGGTCGAGGGACGACGAGTGGACGTGAGTCGTAGAGAATGGAGCAACGTGACGCTGCGAGGACGCAGGAGCTGAGAGAGAGCCCTGGTGTCGATTCCTGGTGTGTGCTCCGAGAAAAGCGGGATGTGATCGACCCGCACGTCATCCAGGCACTGTGGGGGGTGGCTGTGCTCGAGGAACACCTCCGCGCATGGTCCCTGGCCAGCGCACACCCTTCCGCCTCACTTGGCCGTCCCGGCCTGCGCGGTGAGTGTGAGGTGCGTACTCACCGTGTCCGGCCTCGTCATCACACCCATGACCGGTAGACGCACACACCAGGAATCGACACCAGGGCTCTCTCTCAGCTCCTGCGTCCTCGCAGCGTCACGTTGCTCCATTCTCTACGACTCACGTCCACTCGTCGTCCCTCGACCACCTGACCACGCTAGTGGCTACGCGCCTCCGCCTGGCTCCCATCCATGTCGTCCTCACGCACGTTTTCCACGCACATTGTCCGTCCCACCTCGCACACGCCCATCACGATCCGCCCGTGTTCACCTAGGATCAATACGGCAGCCCTATGCGACACATCGATCTAGACGCACCGCACGTTCCCCTTCGCCCTCGATCTCACACTCGCGCTCATCATCCTCCTCGGTCTCGTCTATTCTGACCTCCTCAAGTACCTTGCGTTCCCGCGATCCAACTCTCTTCACGTTCGCTTTCCCCGCAAATCTTGCTTCATCCCAGATTCCTCATTTCTACGCTTACACCAGCCCACTATCTCGCCTTCACCTCCATGGACTCGGACCTGGAGTTGATGACTGTCGTCTTGCCCCACTGGTATACGCTGTGTTTACCCATATGAACCGTTTATGCATACGCACCGTTTATGCATAAATGGGGCGTATGCATAAATGCGCCGTATGCATAATCACGCTGCATGCATAAACCGGCTGTATGCATAAGCCAGCTGTATGCATAATCGGGCTGTATGCATAATCGGGCTGTATGCATAATCGGGCTGTATGCATAATCAGGCTGTATGCATAATCGGGCTGTATGCATAAACCGGCCGTATGCATAAACCAGCCGTATGCATGAACACGTTGTATGCATAAATGGGGTGTATGCATAAACCGGATGTATGTATAAACACAATCTTAGACATAGGTAGGCATCCCGAGGAGAGGGTGAGTATGCAAGCAGTGTTGAGAAGTATGACTGGACTGTGATGAACGACGAGTTCAACAAAAGCCTTGTGTTTATGTCAGTATTGAAGAGAGTATATCTACTGTAAGCAACGCACAAACAGCATGGAACATTGGCGTAGTGGTCTGTTGTGTCGTATGTGTACAATGTCAAGAGGCTGCGGGTTCGATTCACGCGGCTGTCCTTTTGTTTACGGATATTGACGCTCTTACAGCTGTATGCATACTTCAATGTTTATGCATATATCTGTGTATGCATAAGGTACGGTATGCATAAACCCGGGGCGCTCTAACAGGGATTTATGCATAACCTGTACTGAGGCGGCTCTGCTGACTCGAAAATCTTAGGAGCTATTATGTTTTCGAGTGTGGAGTATCTATCCCTCTTTCGTACATTAGGTCACGCCCATGCTGAAACGGTCCAGCTGGGTATTGGCAGTATTCTTCGAGCCAGTGCGTGGACGCACTTCTTTTATATTGTATGCGTACCTAATCCTCTTTTCTTGAGTATTCGGTCACGACAAGCACAAACTACGTGTACGCAGAACACTGCGCGGGCAGTGAAAAGTCGACGGGATGCGAAGGGAAACGGCATCGATTGACCGAACGCGCGAGTACACGGAGAAGGGAGGAGGCAGAGGGCCAGAGCGCGTGCACGGGCGTGGACCAGGTCGACTGAGAAGGACGGCGGGATTGGTGCTTCCTATCAACGCGGAACTTGTGGACGAGCAGCGCGGCAATATGATCGCAGCATGCCCTAGGGCTCGCCGGCTATCTCCGCCTCGCGCGCTCCCTCATCTGTGAGCCCCGGTCCCTGCCATCTGTTCCACCAACCCCCATGTCGCTCTCTAAGCTGACGCGGCGCATGCGCAAGTTCCGCGATAAGAACACACCAGCACAGTCAGATGGATCCAGAGATGCGTCAGCGACCTCCAGCACATCCGCAGTGATCTCGACAAATGCTCCATTCGATGCAGTCGCCGAAGGGACCGTAGTCTCGCGACACGTCGAACTCCAACAAAGCACCGATTCTGCTCCGCTGCTCTCGCGCGAAGCTCAGATCCCAGTCTCCGAACCGGCCCCAGAACCTGACATCAACATGCCCAAACGGAGCCTTCCCGTCGCGACTGCACCAATTCTACACGCTATGGACAGCGCACTCGTGGAGCTTGCGCCCATCCAAGACAAGCTCAACGCTGGACCAACGCGCTCTCCATGCTCACCGAACCCTCTCAGTACGTCCATACGAGCTCGACGAGGCACATTTCCTGATGACGTGTTATGTGCGCAGAAGAACGAGGTGAGCAGTTCGCCATGCTCGCCAATCGGGGCTATGAAGCTGTGTCGAGCGATGTCGGGGCTCTGGCAGCTTCAGATGTCGCGCAGAAGATTGAGCGCGGCATCCAACGCTTCGCCGACAACATCCCATGGCTCATGAAAAGTCTCGACGAGCTCGCGAAGATCCATCCCGCTGTTACAGGTCAGCTGTACCGCTCTCCGCTTTCAGAGTGCAGCGTTGACTTTTGTCCCACACAGTGGCTGTTCTGGCTTTCAAAGCCGTCTACTACCTGGAGTCGACGCGCCAGGAGAATGACCAAAGGGTCATGACCTTGTATGTGACCATGAAAGACATGATGGTCGCCATGGTGCAGTACGTGCTCGCTGATATCGCTGCGCGATGACATTGCTGATTGTAGATAGACTCAAAGACATAGAGAGCACCTCCCATCGAGGGCTCGATGGACAAACGATCGAGGATCGGCTGGAGGCGCTCTCGAAACAGACGGCGGCAGATATCAAAGCGTGCGCCAACTTGTGCGACACGTTCCTCAAGAAGCGCACCTTGGCGCGCGTCTTCAAAAGCCCTATATGGGCCGACAGGTTGGCATACTGGGTCGATGTCTTCACCGAGCGGAAGGGTGACTTCGAATTCGCGCTCGCCATGCATTCCGCGACTACGGTGTCCGACGTGAAGCGCCAGAACTACGAGATGAGCACGAAGTACTTCCAGGCGCTTTCCCCCCGCTGGCGACACAAGACTCACGTTTTGCCGCAGGCTGGACGTCATCCTCGCGCTCTTCAACAAGTTCGCGCCTGAGTACGAGCGCAAGGTTGAGAAAGCGATCAGCGAGGCCGGTGGCTTTACCGCTGCGCGCAAAGACGACGAGGTCCTCAAGTCCCTCATCGCGATCTCCGTCCCGATGGGCCCCGACGCACCTGGCGCCGACCAGCCGGCGCATCTACGATTCACCGAGGTCCCCGCGCCCGAAGCGCAAGGGCCCGCAGGTGCAGGCGCGGGTGGGCGCCGCGAGATCGTGGGCATTGAAGGCGCGCGGGGCAAGTCGGACGGCACGTCGTTTGATGAGCTCAAGGCTGAGCTGCGCGAAAACGTCGACGACGCGCTCGAGCGCAACTTCGAGACGTTCACGGGGAAGTTTCAGCTCCAAATCGGCATCCTCCAGGACCCTCTCGAGCGGTACATTCGGGCGGAGAACGACAGGGTGATTGACGCGGTCACAGGGGCGATGGTGCGTGATTCGAATGAGCGAGTGGACAGCGCACTGACGTGCAGACAAGAACTGGCGGGGAAGCATGCCCGAGTGCCACCACTGCAGTGTGGTGCCGCTCTTCCGCTTGTACAACCAAAGCGCCAAGGACCACTTCTACACCACCAGCGCG